AAAAATAGAGAACGTTTGCAAATTTGTATGTCATCCTTGCACAGAGGCCACGCTAAACTACTCTGTATCTTTCTGCTTTTAGTATATGTGCTGCCAAAGCAAGTACAAGATGCTTTACCTTTCTTAAAATATGAATTTATGCTATAAATTTCCCTCTCAGAACTGCTTTTACAACACCTCATTAGTCTTGGTATGTGGTGTTTCCTTTTTCCTTTGTTTCTGTATTTTCTTACCATTTTTTATTGAAGTATAATTAACACTAGTTTCAGGTGTACAATATGATTCAACAATTCTATACATTATTCGTTCTCATCAGAATAGGTACTCTTAATCTCCTCTTTTTCACTCATCTCAGTACCTGCCATCCCTCTGGCAACCATGAGTTTGTTCTATTTAAGCACCTGTTTTTGTGTTTTTCCTTTTCCTTTTTCCTTTTGTTTCTTAAATTCCACCAATAAGTGAAATCATATAATAGTTGCCTTGTCTGACTTATTTTGCTTAGTACTATACCTTTTTGGTTCATCCATGTTGTTCCAAATGCCAAGATCTTATTTTTTTTATGACAGAATAAAATTCCACTGTAAAATAAACCACATCTTCTGTATTCATATTTATGGACAGATACTTGGATTGCTTCCATATCTTGGATATTGTAAATAATGCTGCAATAATTATAGTGGTGCATCTATCTTTTCAAATTTGTGTTTTCATTTTCTTTGAGTAGATACCAAGTAGTGGAATTATAGGGTAATTCTCTATGTTTAGCTTTTTAAGGAAACTCTGTATTGTTGTCCATAATGGCTGCACCAGTTTGCATTCCTAGACATGTGTCTTCAAGCAAAAGAAACAAAAGCAAAATAAAACTGTTGGGGATACACCAAAATAAAAACTTTTGCACAGTAAAGCAAGTCGTCAATGAAGCAGACTACTGAATGGGAGAAGATAGCTGTAAATGACATATCTGATAATTAATATCCAAAATATATAAAGATGTGGTACAATTCAAAAGCAAGTAATCCAATTAAAATGGACAGAATCCAAAAAGACATTTTTCCAAAGAAGATCTACAAATAGCCAACAGACACATGAAAGGTTTTCAACATCACAATCAAGGAAATGCAAATCAAAGTCACAATGATCTATCACCTTACTCTTGTCAGAATGGCTAGAATCAAAAGGAAGAGATAATTGTTGAGAAGGATGTGGAGAAAAAGGAACCATAATGCACTCTTGGTGCTTCTATAGGTGTTTTCTGTTTCCTTTCCATTTTTTTGACCCACTGGTTGTCCAGGAGTGTGTTGTTTAATTTTCACATATTTATAGTTTTCCAATTTTTTTAAATTGTTGATTTCTAGTTGTTGATTCCCTTATGGGTTGGAAAGGATACGTGCTATCATTTCAGTCTCCTTAAATTTTTAAAGACTAGTGTGTGGCCTATCGTAGGATCAATTATTGAGAATGTTCTGGGAGTATTTGAGAACAATGTAATCTGCTTTTGAATAGAATGTCTGTTAGGTACATTTTTGTATAGTCGCACTTGTTTATGTTCACATTTGTTGCCTTTGCTTTTTGGTGTCAAATTCAACTAATCATTACCTAGGCTGATGTCAAGGAGCACACCCCTTAAAACTCCTTCTGGGAGTTACGGTTTCAAGTGTCACACTCAGTCTTTAATGAATTTTGAGTTGACTTTTGGCTATGATGTAGTAGAGCCATTCTTTTGCATGGGGCTGTCCAGTTTTCCAAGCATCATTTATTGAAGAGACTATCATTTCCCCATTGTATAATTTGGACCTTTTGTCATAAATTCATTGACTATGTATTAGTATGTTTATTTTGAAATTCTTTACTCATTTATGTCTGCTTTTATGCCAATATCACACTCTTTTGTTGAGTATAGCTTCGTACTATAGTTTGAAGTTAGGGCGCATGATGCCTCCAGCTTTGTTCTTTCTCTAGATTACTTTAACTCTATGGGGTCTTTGTGGCCCCGTATAAATTTAGGACTGCTTTTTTTATGTCTGTGTAAAATGCCAATGTAATTTTGATAAAGGCTGCGTGGAATCTATACATTGCTTTGGGTAATATGCACATTTTCACAGTACTCTTCCAATCAATGAAAACAGAAAATCTTTCCATTTATTTGTGTCATTTTCAATTTCTTTCTGTCTCAGTAGTTGGTTTACAGATATTTTTCCTCCTTTCTTGTATTGGTTACTAGTATTTTATTTTGATGCAATTGTAAACAGGAATGTTTTATTAATTTCTGATTGTTATTGTATAGAAATAAATTTTTGTATATTATGCGACTCTATTGAATTCATTTATAAGTTCTGTTTTTTGTGATCTGTATATAATATCACATCATCTGCAAATTGTGACAGTTATACTTCTTCCTGACAAGTTTGGATGTCTTTTATTTCTTATTGCTGCAGCTAACACTTCCAGTACTATGTTGGATAAAGGTGGTGACTGCACATCCTCATCTTGTTCCTGATCTCAGAGGAAATGTTTCAGTTGTTTTTTTTTTTTTTTTTAACCATAAGGCCTGGGTTTTTTATATATAGTCTTTATTGTGTTGAGGGATGTTTTCTCCAAACCCATTTTGCTTAGAGTTTTTATCATGAGCAGATGTTGTATTTTGTTGAAGACTTTTTCTGCACCTATTGAGATGATCATATGTTTTTTCTTCTTCTTCTTCTTAATGTGATGTATCACACTGATTGATTTGAATGTATTGAACCATCCTTGCATCACTGGAATAAATCACACTGGATCATGAGGAATAATTTTTATAAGATATTGTTGAAATTGGTTTGCTAATATTTTGGTGAGGATATTCACTTCTATATATCATCAGAGACATTGGCCTGCAATTTTCTTTTCTTGTAATTTCCTTGTTTGTTTTTGGTATCACAGTAATTCTGACCTCATAAAATGAGTTTGGAAGTATTTACTCTTCTTTTTTGAAAAAGTTTGAAAAAGATTGGTATTAATTTTTCTTTAAATATCTGGTAGAATTCACCAAACATCTGTTTGCACAAAGATCTGTGAAACCATCTGTTCCTGGACTAATGTTTGCAGGGAGGTTTTTATTACCAATTCATTCTTCTTTGTAGTAATTTATCTGTGCAGATTTCCTATTTCTTCATGATTCAGTACTGGAAGGTTAAATGTTTCTAGGAAATTATCCATATTTTTACACTGTCTAATAAGTTGGCATAGATTGCTTGAAGAGTCTTATAATCCTTCATATTTGTGTGTCATTGTCAAGGCTTTTTAAAATCATGAGTAGATACTGAATGTTTTTAATTGCATTTTATGCATTTTATGATCATTATAATTGTCCTCCTTTTTTCTGTAAGCATGTTAATTACACTGATTAGCTTTTGGATATGAGAGCAAGCTGGCATTCCCAAAATAAACCAGTAAGACCAAGATTTATTATGCTTTTTACATATCCCCAGTACACTTTGATATTTTGTTTAGGATTTTGGATATTCAACTGGTGTTTTTCTTATAATGTTGCATTTTGATATCAAGATTATTTAGACACTGGGGATTCTCTCCTTCCTACTTTCTGAAAGGTATAAAATTAGCATTAATTCTATAAAATATTTGAAAGATTTCATCAGTGAGGCTTCTGAGCCAAAAGTTCCCTTATAGGAAGATTTTTTATTATATATCCAATTTATTTAATATAATTCTGACTTTTCTATTTCATCTTGTGTCAAAGTAAGTCACCACTGACATTTTTGTGAACTGTCCTTTTTTCTGTTATTAAACACTGTTTAAAGATTATAATGTACTTATAATCTTTTAAATGTTGGCAGCAGGATCTATAGTGTTGTCTCATTTTGTAATCCTGATATTAGTTCTTTGTGGTATCTACCTATTCTCTCTTAATAAGTCTATTCTGAATTTTATTGACTTCTATTTCCTTCTATGACCAAACTCAGCTTTATTGATTTCTTTCTTGATTACTTTTTGTTTTATTATTTTTTTTAATCTTAGCTAAATATTTGTATTTGGGAAGGGGACTTAATTTATCTCATTATAATTTCCTGAGATGAAGGTTTATTTTCAGATCTTGTTTTATAATAATGTATTACTTTTTTCATGTTATCATGTGCTTAAACACTTTAATAGCCTCTGTAGAATAAAGACCACATTTTTTAACTTGAAATAATCATAATCTTCCATGTTCTGGCTCATGCCTTGCCTGTTCCATCCTTTTTTTAAAATATAATTTATTGTCAAATTGGTTTCCATACAACACTCAGTGTTCATCCCAACAAGTGCCCTCCTCAGTGCCCGTCACCTGCTTTCAACCATCTCCCAACCCCCATAAGCCCTCAGTTTGTTCTCAGTATTTAAGAGTCTCTTATGGTTTGCCTCCCTCCCTCTCTGTAAATTTTTTCCCCTTTCTCTCCCCCATGGTCATCTGTTAAGTTTCTGAAGACCCACATATGAGTGAAAACCTATCGTATCTGTCTTTCTCTGCCTGACTTAACTCACGTAACAGAATACTCTCCGGCTCCGTCCACATTGCTACACATGGCCAGATTTCATTCTTTCTCATTGCCGAGTAGTATTCCATTGTATATATAAACCACATCTTCTGGCCCTGCAGTCCAGGAATGAATCCCACTTGATTATGGTGAATAATTATTTTCATATACTGTTGAATACGATTTGCTAGTATCTTGTTGAGAATTTTTGCATCCATGTTCATCAGAGATATTGGCCTGTAATTCTCCTTTGCAGTGGGGTCTCTGGTTTGGGAATCAAGGTAATTCTGGCTCCATAGAATGAGTCTGGAAGTTTTTCTTCCATTTCTATTTTTCAGAACAAGCTTAAGAAGGACAGGTATTAACTCTGCTGGAAATCTCTGGTAGAATTCCCCGGGGAAGTCATCTGGCCCAGGACTCTTTATTTGTTGGGAGATTTTTGATAACTGATTCCATTTCTTCACTAGTTATGGGTCTGTTCACATTTTCTATTTCTTCCTGTTTGAGTTTTGGTAGTGTGTGGGTGTTTAGGAATTTGTCCATTTCCTCCAGGTTGTCCAGTTTGTTGGCATATATTTTTTCATAGATTCCTCTG